CCCCCCGGGGGGGGGGCGATGCTGCAGCCCCCCCAAATCCATCCCGGTTTTCCCGCTCCCCCCCCGCCCTGCGGCTGCCGCAGCGGCGCTGGGCGCGGCGAGGGCGGAGGCGGCGGGGGGGGGATGCTGGGAGGGGGCAGCTTTAGGGGGTCCTACCCCACCCACAGCCCCCCCCAGGCTTGCGGGGGGGCCCTTAGAGCCCCCTCCGGCCCCTGGGGGTGCTCAGGCTCTGCGGCCTGGGGGCACCGGGCCCCCCCTCCGCATTTTATCCCAGCCAAGGTCCCCCCTTCCCGCTGAGCCAGGTGTGCACCCAGCACTGAAATTTGGGGGGCTCTAATTTCGGGGGGGGAGCTCTGCTTCCGTACCTAGTGAGGGGGGGCTTGGGGGTCACCCTCCGCGATTTGGGGGAGCAGCCCCGCCCTGTGCTTTGGGGGTGCCTGGGCAGCAGGACCCCCAAAGCACTTCAGTGACGATGCCCTGGGGGGGTGGGGGGTCAGCGCTGGGGTTTTGGGGGTCCCCGGGGTGGGGGGGTTGGTTGAACCCTGACACACGCGGTGGCACTGCAGCATCAGCCCCGCGGTGCTGGGTGACCCCAATTCGCGGTGGGGGTCACGGCGGTGCGCCTGTGGGTGTGCTGAGGTGTGTCCGTTCTCAGCTCCCATCGGTGCATTGAGCTGTGCCCGTTCTCAGCGCCTATCGGTGCGCTGAGCTGTCGGTTCGCAGCTCCCGTGGGTGTGCTGAGCTGCCCGTTCTCAGCAGCTGCTCCCACTGCCGCACAAGTGGTCCCGGTTCTCAGCCCCTGCCCCACTGCTGCACCGAGCTGTGCTCGTTCTTGGCCACCACCCACATCGGTGCGTTGAGTTTTGCCCGTTCTCAGCTGCTGTTCCAATTGGTGCACAGAGATGGGCTGGTTCTGAGCTCCCATCTGTGCACTGAGCTGTGTCCGTTCCCAGCTGCCACCCACAGCAGTGTGCTGAGCTGTGCGCGTTCTCAACCACCCTGCCCATCAGTGAGTGCACTGAGTTGTGCCCATTCTCAGCCACTGCTCCCATCAGTGTGCCAGGCTGTCCATTCTCAGCTTCCCGTGATGCACTGAGCTGTGCCCGTTCTCAGCTGCTGCTTCCATCGGTGCACTGAGCTGTGTCTGTCCTCAGCTGCCGCCCTCAGTGATGTGACTGTTCTTGGCTGCCACTTCCATCAATGCGTCGAGCTGCCTGTTCTCAGCTCCCATCAGTGCACTGAGCTGTGCCCGTTCGTGGCCACTGCTCCCACCCGTGCACCGTGCTGGGCCCATTCTCAGCTGCTGCTCCTCCCATCAGTGCACTGAGCTGCCTGTTCTCAGCTTCCATCGGTGCACTGAGCTGGGTCCATTCTCAGCCACTGTCCCCACACTGCCCCGATTGGTTCCCGTTCTTGGCGGCTGCTCCCATTCTCAGTTCCCACCAGTGCACTGAGCTGTGCCCATTCTCAGCTGTCGGTCCCATCAGTGTATTGAGCTGCACCCGTTCTCAGCCACAGTTCGTTAGTGCACATGCACTGAGCTGCCCGTTCTCTGTGCCCATCACTGTGCTGAGCTGTGCCCGCTCTCAGCTGTCAGTTCCTCAGGGGGTGTAACCGAGGCCGGGCGGTGCAGGCAGCAGGGGATCCCCCCCCCGTCCCGGGTGTCCCCAACCTGCCAACTCGTCACCCCCGGGCCAGGCGCGGGGCAGGGCGGGGCCGCCCGGCCTTATCTGCGGGGTGCAGCTGTGGGGTATCTCGGTGGCTCCTTCCCAATCCGTGTTTGGGGCATGGTGCGGGTGCCGGGGGTGACGCCGCGCGTCCCGCAGGATGAGCACGGCCGCCAGCCCCGAGCCCCTGCCCGAGCCCCCCGGCCCCGGGCCCCGCTGCGCCCCCCAGGACGGCGCCGAGTTCCTGCGGGCGCGGGGCGGGGGGGGGGACCTGCGCCAGGACTTCAACCTCATGGAGCAGAAGAAGCGGGTGACCATGATCCTCCAGAGCCCGGTGAGCCCCTGCCCCCGCGCTGTCCCCAAACCCCCTCTCTTGTCCCCAACCCCAGCCCTCCTGCCCCCCATCCCGTCCCGCCTGTCCCCAAACCCTGTCTTTCGTGTCCCCAACCCCTTCCTTCCCGTCCCCCACTCCAACCTTTCTGTCCCCAACCCCTTTCCCTTTTGTCCCAGCCTTCCTGTCCCCAAGACCAGCCCTCTTGCCCCAACCCCATCCTTTGTGTCCCTGCCCCATCCCTCCTTCCCCCGCCCGGTCCCTCCTGTCCCCAGGCCAATCGGTGCCACCGCGATGCCACCAAGTGTTGGCTCGGTGCACGTCCCCACCTGCCAACGTCACTGCCCCGGTGCTGCTGTCACTGAGCTGCCAGTGCCCCCCCCGCCACTGTGCCACCACGCCAGTGGTGACACTGACACCGTGATGCCACCATCGCTGTGCCACCGAGCTGGTGGTGCCACCCATCACAGTGCCACCAGGCCAGTGGTGTTGCTGACACCAAGATAGTAGTGCCACCAAGCCGGTGGTGCTGGGACCGCCAGCGAGCCACCGAGCTGTCAGTGCCACTGACACCAAGCCAGCAGTGCCACCATCACTGTGTCACCAAGCTGGTTGTGTCACCAACACTGAGCTGCTGGTGCCACCATCACTGTGCCACCAAGCCACTGGTGTCCCTAACACCGAGCTGGCAGTGCCACTTCCACCAAGCCAATGATGTTGCCCTCCCCCACCCCCCCGTGTCCCCGATGGTCCCCCCACGTTGTCACCGTGTGCCCGGGTGCCACAGTCCTTCCGGGAGGAGCTGGAGAGCCTCATCCAGGAGCAGATGAAGAAGGGGAACAACTCGTCGCACGTGTGGGCGCTGCGGCAGATCGCCGACTTCATGGCCACCACGTCCCCCGCGGCCCTGCCCACCTCCCCCATGGGTACGTGGGGCACGGGGGGGTTTGGGGGCACTCACAGGGGGTGTAATCTGTGGGGGTGTGGGTGGGAAAACCCGCAAAACCTTGGGAGCCACCAAACCCTTGAGGGTCACCAAGCCTTTGGGACCTGTGGGATCCCCAAAACCTTTGGGGTCATCAAAGCTTTGAGACCTTTGGGGCCCATAAAACTTGGGGACCCCCAAAACCTTTTGGATCATCAAACCTTCGAGACCTTTGGGACCTTGGGGCGCCACCAAACCCTTGGGAACCCCACAACACTTTGAGGAACACCAAATCTTTGGGGCCACCAAACCTTGGGGACCAACCAAACCTTTGAGGCCTTGGGGACCCCCAAAACCTTGAGGGCCACCAAATGAACCTCGGGGACCACTAAAACCTTTGGGGTCACCGAACCTCGAGGGCCAGCAAACCACGGGGGCCACCAAACCCATCCCCACAACTCCCCCTCCCCTGTCCCTGGTGAACTCCACTGCAGCTCAGGGGGGTCCCACTGCTGACGGGGGGTCCCCAATGCCCAGGGCTGGCGTCGGTGACCCCCATTAACGACCTGCACGGGACGGAGGGGCCGGCGCTGGCCAAGGGCGAGCGGCTGATGCGCTGCAAGGTGGGCAGCATCCACCGGCTGCTGGACCTGTACGGCTGGGCACAGCTGGGGCACGCCGCCGTCACGGTGAGCACCCCAAAACCAGCACGGGTGGAGCAGGGAGGACCTAGGGAAGTTTGGGGGGGGATCAGGGTTGTCTGGGGGGGATTTAGGGGAGTTAAGGGGGGTTTGGGACCTACTGGACCTGTACAGCTGAGCGCAGCTGGGGAATGCCACTGTCATGGGAGCACCCCACAGCTTGGACAGGGGGGACTGGGTTGTTTTGGGGGGATTTTGGGGAGTTTGGGGGGGTTTGGGGTTATTTTGGGGGTGTTGGGGGGGATTGGAGCTGTTTTGGGCCCTGCTGGACCTGTACATCTGGGCACAGCTGGGGAATGCTGCTGTCACTGTGAGCACCCCAAAACCGGGACAGGGGGGCTTGGGGTGCGTTGGGGTTGTTTGGGGGGGACTTAGGGAAGTTTGGTGACAGGTGGGGGGTTTTAGGGAGATTTGGGGGAATTGGGGGGGTTTGGGATCTGCTGGAGCTGTACAGCTGAGTGCAGCTGGGGCATGCTGCTGTCACCGTGAGCACCCCAAAATCAGGATGGGGGGGCTTGGGAGGACTGGGGGGGGATTTGGAGGAGTTTGGGGGGAAGCTGGGGTTATTTGGGGGGAATTAGGGGAGGGATTGGAGGGGTTTTGGGTCCTGCTGGGCCTGTACAGCTGGGCACAGCTGGGGAATGCTGCTGTCATCGTGAGCACCCTGAAACCAGAATGGGGGGGCCTGGGGGCTTTGGGGGGAATTTGAGGGGAGTTGTGTTTTTTTGAGAGGGGTTTTGGGGGATTTGGGTTGTTTTGTGGGTGTTTGGTGTTGTCTGGGGGGTTTGGGGCCCTGCTGGAGCTGTAGAGTTGGGCACAGCTGGGGCACATCACCATCACCATGAGCACCCAGAAAGGCCATGGAGGGCTGGGGTTGTTTTAGGGGGACTTGGGGGAGTTAGGGGGTTTTTGGGACCTTTGGGGGGGGTTGGAGATTTGGGGGAAGTTGGAGATTTTGAGGTGGTTTGGGGAGTTCTTGAGGAGAGTTGGGGGGTTTGGGAGGTTGGGATTTTGAGGGGTTGGGGATTTTGTGGTAGTTTTTTAGGGGGGGAGTTTGAGGGACTTGGGGCTTTGTGAGTAGTTGGGGGGTTCTTTAGGGGTTTTGGTTTGGGGGGGAGGATTGTAGATTTTTTAAGGGTTTGGAGGTGTTTGGAGGGGTCATTTCTGGGGGGGAGATCACAGATTTTTTAAGGGTTTGGGAGTGTTTGGAGGGGTCATTTCTGCGGGGTGTGGGATGTTTGGGGGGGGGTCTTGGCTTGTTTTTCACAGCCCTCTGTCCCCCTCTGTGACAGCTGCGGGTCAGCAAGGAGCAGGAGCACTTCTTGGTGGCCCCGCAGGGGTTGGCGTGCAGCGAGGTGACCGCGGCCAGCCTGGTGAGCCCCCCGCCCCTAACCCCGACCCCACGCTGGCTGTCTGGGGGGCAGGCCCGGCCCCCCTGACGCCGCCGCGCCCCCCAGGTGAAGGTGAACGTGCTGGGGGCCGTGGTGGAGCCCGGCAGCACCGGCTTCGCGCCCGACGCCCGCAGCTTCAGCCTCCACGCCGCGATCTACGCGGCGCGCCCCGACATCCGCTGCATCGTGCGGCTGCACACCCCGGCCGCGGCCGCTGTACGGACCGGGGGGCACGGGAACGGGGGGCTGGGGGTGTTTGGGGGGCTTTGGGGGCTGCACACCCCGGCCGCGGCCGTTGTATGGACTGGGGGGCACGGGAATGGGGGTCTGGGGGTGTTTGGGGGGGCTGTGGGGCTGCACACCCCGGCTGCTGTACGGACCGGGGGGCACGGAGGAGCTGGGAGGCTTGGGGGAGCGGGGGGTCTTTGGGAGAAGCTGGGGTTTTGGGGGGATTTGGGGGTTTGAAGGGTGTTACGGGGATTTGGGGGGGAAGGAGGATTGGGAGAGTTTGGGAGAGTTGAGGGTCTTTGAGGGAAGCTGGGATTTGGGGGGAATGGAGGATTGGGAGAGTTTGGGAGAGTTGAGGGGTTTTGGGGGAAGCTGGAGTTTGGGGGGATTTGGGGGTTTGAAGGGTGTTACAGCGATTTGGGGACATTGGAGGATGGGGGGTTTTGGGGGGGCTTTGAGGGGGATGGAGGATTGGGTTAGTTTGGGAGAGTTGAGGGTCTTTGGGGGAAGCTGGGGTTTGGGGGGATTTGGGGGATTGAAGGCTATTATGGGGTTTTGGGGACATTGGAGAATGGGGGATTTGGGGGGGATGGAGGATTGGAGGAGTTTGGGAGAGTTGAGGGTCTTTGGGGAAAGCTGGGGTTTGAGGGGATTTTGGGAGTTTGAAGGGGAATTGGGGGTGTTGGGAGTTTGGGGAGAGGGAGGGATTGGGGGTCTGTGGGAGAAGTTGGGATTTGGGGGGACTGTGGGGGTTTAGAGGATATTATGGGGATTTGGCTGCATTGGGGGCTTGGGCGAGACAAGGAGAGTTGGGGGTGTTTGGGGGAGACAGGTTAGAGGAGTTGGGGGTATTCAGGGGTGTTTGGGGTCTTCGGGGGAAGTTGGGTTTTGGGGGAGTTATGGGGGTTTGGAGGGTATGACAGGAAAAGGGATTATTTTGGGGGGAAAGGGGTTAGATGGGGTTAGGGGAGTGGGGGGGGAGTTTGAGGGGTATTTTGGGGATTTGGGAGGATTGGGATGGACAGGGAGAGGTGGGGGACAGGGGGACTGTGGGTGCCTGGGGGTTTAGGGGAGTTGGGGAGAGTTTGGGGGAGTTGGAGATCTTCGGGGTAAGTTGGGGTTTGGGGCGGTTGTGGGGATTTGCAGGGTGTTACAGGGATTTGGGGACATTGAAGGATGGGGGAACGTGGGGGGAATGGGGATTGGGGGAGTTTGGGGAAGTTGGAGGTCTTTGGGGGGAGTTGGGGTTTGGGGGGATTTGGGGCGTTTGAAGGGTATTGCAGGGATTTGGGGGCATTGGGGGTTTGGGGGACTGAGAGAGTTTGGGGTGTTTTTGGGGGGGGGTGGGGGTTAGGGGAGTTGGACAGATTTGGAGGAGTCGGGGGTCTTTGGAGGAGGTTGAGGTTTGGGGGGACTTGGGGGGTTTGAAGGATATTTTGGAGACTTGGGGTTCTTGGGGGTTGGGGGGGACAGGGAGAGTTGGGGGATGGGGGGATTTGGGTACATGGGGGCTTAAGGAATTTGGGTGTCTTTGAGGGAAGGGTTGGGCTGGAGAGGATTTTGGGGCCTTGAAGTGTATTATGGGGATTTGGGAGTGTTGGGGGTTTAGAGGGGACGGGGAGAGTTGGAGGTAATTGGGGGTGTTTCTAGGGGTCGGGGTTGTTTGGGCTCTTTGGGGGCAGTTTGGTTTTGGGGGGGATTTTATAGTTTGAGTTGTGGAGGGTTTGGGGGGAACTTAGGAACTTGGTTTTGAGGGGATTTTGGGGGGGTTGGGGGTTTTTGGGGATGGCTTTTTTGCAGGGTTGTGGATTTTTTGGGAGTGGAGTTCTTTGTGGGGTTCTTTGGTTTCGTGTTTCTTTTTGTGGGATGTTGGTGTGGGTTCGAGGGTCGGTTTTTCTGGGTGTTGCTGGTTTTTGGGGTCTTTGGGGTTTTTTTGGGGGTGCTGGGGGTCCCCTGTCCCCCCCTGCCCTGTCCCCCCCGTGCCCAGGTGTCGGCCATGCGCTGCGGGCTCCTGCCCATCTCCCGGGCCGCGCTGCTCCTGGGGGACGTCGCCTACTTCGACTTCCGCGGGGAGGTGGGGGACGAGGCCGACCGGGTGGAGCTCCAGAAGTGCCTTGGGCCCACCTGCAAGGTGAGGGGGTGCCGGGGGGGGATGTGGGGGTGGTCCCGCCGTCCCCCCTGCCCCACTGAGCTCCCGGTGATCCGCAGATCCTGGTGCTGCGGAACCACGGGGTGCTGGCGCTGGGGGACACGGCCGAGGAGGCCTTTTACAGCATCTTCCACCTGCAGGCGGCCTGCGAGGTCCAGGTGAGTGCGGGGCGTGTGATGAGCTGTGTGTGGGCTCAGCTGATGGCCTGGTGACCCTGGCAACGGGCACTGAGTTGTGTCCAGCCTCAGCCAACACGGTGGTACCCCAGGAATGAGCACTGAGCTGTGTGTGGGCTCAGCTGCAGCCACAGGCCCCAGGACCACGCACTGAGCTGTGCCAGGTCTCTGCCACCACCATGGGACCCTGGCCATGAGTGAAGCTGTGCCAGGCCTCAGCCACCAGCCCAGTGCCCCGAGACTCTGCACTGAGCTGTGTTGGGTCTCTGCAGTCAGTGCAATGTCCTGGGTCTGTGAGCTGAGCTGTGCCAGGTCTCTGCTGCCAGAACAGTGCCCTGGGCCCGTGCACTGAGCTGTGTATCGTCTCACCCCCCGCTGCAGTGCCCCATGACCAGGTCTCTGCCACTTGCACAGTGCCCCAGGACCATGCACTGAGCTGTGTCAGGTCTCTGTAGTCACTGCAGTGTTCTGGGTCCATGCACTGAGCTGTGTCAGGTCTCAGCAGTCACTGCAGTGTTCTGGATCCATGCACTGAGCTGTGCCAGGTCTCTGCAGTCGGTGCAATGTTCT